TGTCCATACCGAACCACACTAATAACCGCTATTGAACGAAATCATCGAATGGTGGTTAGAAATGAGAACCTCCAAGGCAAAGTCGTTTCTATTTTGTGCACTGCAAGATCGTTAATCAAGTAACCTTTAAAATAACATCAGGCGGACTTCCTAGCCTTTCCAAGTGCCAAGCTAAATCCATTTTCTAGCCTTTCCATCTCTAAATCGTTTTTTACTAGGATAGTAATCTTTAGATATGCCATACAAATCATAATGCAATGCAATATTTTAAGCTCTTTTCTTAACACCCTTAAATATCCGTTACATTTTATGTTTGTAATAATGATAATGATATACATAGATAGATATGTAATTTATTTCATATAAATACATCTTGGAAATATCGTAAAATATACATAAAACATCAAAATTTATAGATAGAATATCTTTAGAAATAGTAAATATGTAGAAAGGTATTTTAGTACATATCAATATGTTTTATATAAATTAATTGGATTTTTTTATAAAAAATTGTTAAAATCGTAATTGATATAATAAAAAAATGATTTAAAAAAGACAGTTTTCGGCTATATTCCTAGTGCGGGAGTTGTCTTTTAAAGAAACAAAAAAAGAATTTTTGCAGTACTTCTGGTAGATATACTTTTATACAGATTAGGGCAAGTTCCCACTGTGTCGTATCATTTAATTTACAGTACCGTTTCAAGCTATAAGTAATTGGAATTTGTTATGACAACACTCTGTATTTCAACATTTTCGAAGTCTACATTCGTCGAAGTCAAATGAAGTCGTGTCACGTGTTCACAGCAGTCGCCTAATCGTGCTTTAGAAGTTAATAATCTGTGCTAGCCTCCTTATACATGTTTATGTACATGTAAGAAAAACAAATAAGCGAAGAAGATGTCAGCGAATAAGGTTATTTTTAAGTACAATTTTTACAGTAACTATTACACGTAGTAGCGAATACTTAATGTCGTCATTGCCACCGCCACAGCGTCGAACTTCAAACTAACTTAGTTTAAAATTTGACTCTTTTCTTTTACGTGTGGAAACCCCCTCGGGCCGCCACTCCACCGGAGTTTGCGGCGGGATGATGTGTCAGAATCGGACCGACTAAAACCACACGGTGTGCCACTCTGCGCTCGTAATAGGAGAGACCAAGGAACTGCTATTATTAAGACATCCGGACTCCTCCTAGCGCCTACCCACAATGGCGCGGACACCATCTTCGGGTACATTCTCCTTTAGGCGACGACCGGCACACATTTCAAACGAACTTAGTTTGAAGTTCGACGCTAGAGAATAGCACTGCTGTCCATATGCTCCAAAGCATGGCTCTCCCACGACACTTATTGTATCGTTAAACCATTTTCGTTTCTAGACTATTCTTATTCAGACGTGACGATAATTTATTGTATCACGGCATTATCAACAATCAATCTGTGTCGTTAGTAAAAGGATTAGTAGGATGACGACTATTTATCGTTTTAATTACGTTGGAAATTAATAGCTTGTTGACTTTCATTCCATGCCATAACTATATTAATTATGTATTATCTAATTTAGTCGCTATGGCGTACTAGTCATGACGCTCTACAGTCTATACACATACGACTGTCAGGAACGTGCTCTAAGGATGCTGTTACCGTAAATATTACAATTTCAGAATAAATTTTATATTTAACAATAGATTTTCGTAACAACAATATACGTACTTATTTCGTTTATCTGTAGCGACTTCCAAATATAATCCATCTAACGATAACACACTGCACTACTGCTGCTACTAGAATGTAATGGAACGTTTGCATCAGATCCAAAGGTGGGCGTTAGTGACTACACCACAGTGTTTCACTAATGCAGTCATTATCAAACACATTTGAATTATTCTAATCTGTGTTTTTAGATTTATTATTATTATTACTACTGCACTAGATTAACTACTAGTCCTGTGTCGCGCAATGAAAGGTCTCGCGCCGATTAGTATATATATAACTTCTCAATCTGAACCTCTTCTGGTCGAAGGCTCCCCTTTGTGTTAGAGGAACACAACGCCTGTCCCTCCACAGCAGTGACCCTAAAGTAATTGGAAGTCGCCACATATCCACATTAAGATCTTAATTGTTATTCTGAACCTTTAAGATACATAAAAACTAGAAACAATGCAACAAAAGCCATGAATTATCCAGCTATACACATCTGCTACAGAACTCAGAATACCATAAATTAGTATACAGAGCGACACATCACATTAAAAACCTTTAACAGTCCAGTGCTGAGAGAGAGAAATTACGGAGCGTAGATTTTAGCATATAATAGAGATTTAATAATACTTATTAGTATTAGCTAATCAAAAACGTTAACATCTTAGGTTATTTAATCTTCAGCAAAACTTATGGCTTTTAACATCTACCCAATGGAAGACAAACTTTTTTGCAAAATTATACAAATAAAAATAACACACTTCTTTTGTTTGCAATTCGTACCAACACTTGAAACGACTAGATCTGCAATACCCACTTATAAGCTTGGTTGCGTATCCCATATACATGTGACATATATAAAGCCTCCTTCAACACACAGACACTACAGAAATAGAGAAAGAGTTACATTACATTACATTTTGCCTATAAAATGAAGACACTCATCTAAAAACCTAAACATTAAATATGAGGTATTTTAGGTATATCTATTGGGCACTAAAAATACCCTAATAAATTTGAAATAAGGCCTTTAAATAGCAAATCTCGTAATCAGGAACAATTAAGTACCTATAAAAAACATATTCCCTTCAGAAATGACTTTAATATTATAAACAGAATAACAGCTAAGTTTACTTTTTGCTTGAATCATTTGTATAAAATTTAAAACTACTGTTACGGCATTCAAATATTTCAAACAGTTAGCACTTGTGTTTACTTTATATTGAATCAACAATTTTCATATAATTGATTGCAATGCCTTACATACTATTAAATACACTTAAAAAAAGAAATCCTCTTTTTCACAAATACATTGAAAAAATATTACCAGTAGTTTCAGGTATTAACTTCATTATAATTATAATAAAAAGGAATGAAAGAGATCACTTAGGTGTCTCATTTCGACCAGGTTACACTAGCAATGGTCACAGGGACCCTGTGACCACCAACTGGCCAGCAGCTATAACCCGTGAAGCAATTCACCGGTGCAATACCTGCTTCTTGATCGTTAATTCTCGTGTCTAAACAAATTCACTTGCAGGAGTTACAATTTTTTTTAAAGTATTACATTAAACAAAGCAATGCTTTCATATAATTTAAACTCAATACCTGTAATATGTAAATACACAGTAATATAACAACATAAGTAATTGATAATCCACTATACGTGTAACCTAAGATTACGCTAAATATATATAAGACAAAATATCGGTAGTTCCTTTGCTTGTTATGAAGATCTCTTCCCATCTTTGGTCCTTTGTACATATGTTTCATTAAATTCAAGCCCATATATCTCCAATCCATTTGCTTATCAACACAGAGTATATTTATTTCGTTAGTACAACCACATTTCAACATGAGAGAACCTCCAATAGTCATATTTCTTCTGTCTTGACATTTAAAAAAAAACACGGATTCAGAAAATATTTTCCTGATATGTAGCATTCTATCTAGTGATATATATCAACTATCTATGAGTACATTTTGGAGAAAAATGGCTACAATCTAACGAACAATGATATATTCCTTATTATGTGGGCAGCTTAAGGTTTTCGTCTAGGACACTATACAGAGCCCTACTGATAATACAACTAGATATACCTACGTATATATAGAAATGTATATTTTAAATCATTGTTTTAATTATTAAGTCCTGGAGCGTCTTTAATATACAGATATCTGTATATGAAAGACGCTCCAGGACTTAACAATTAAAACAATGACTTTTTAACATCACATATATTATATTATATCCATATGATTTAATAAAATATATGTGATGTTAAAAAATAACAGAGTAAATATTTTTGAGATAGAAATATAAAATACTGTATAAGATCATCGATTTGTCTAGATAGACTGTCAAAGATGTGAAAGAGCCATAAAAAAGTTGTGTCCAACAGTTGGCCACTAAGTTCCTTGCCGATTTAGCTGTGTGTGTTAACTGTGTTGTCACTATAAACGTTCGATTTGCACGCACACCAGCGTACATTTCTCGCACACAAGCATAATAAAAATCGGCCGTTTGTTTTAGTTGCTCTGCAGTGCGATACTCCATCTAGTCATATGAAAGATCTAAGGTAACAAATTCTCTTCAGAGTTTAAATAAATATAAAATATAAAAAAATTCTTTCATTGTTTTGGTCACAACTCTGGTCTAGTCTAGTCAACTCTAGTTCTAAAAAGAAACAGTTTCTGACAGACTTTACGTAAGGAACTATTTACAAAACGCCGTCTTCGTTGATTGATATCAAATAACTTCTAATTACGATAATGAAGTAAAAATTTTCAGCTGAAATTAAATGAAAATAAATGTGTTAGAACTATCATATTGATGTATGCACTGTAAGAAAGATAAGATAGAATGAGAGTAAATCCAGAGATGGTGCCTTACAAAAAGCAAAAGACCTATCTTTTGCTTCTCAATCGCAAATCTAATCGCCAAGAGTGGTTTTGTGATATATTAAACTGATTATTACATAAACTAAATGATCTGATATATGTTTTGCTTGCATCCTAAAAATGCCTTTTGCAATCGTCTCAAAATGAACGCATCAAATCTATGTTAAATCAATAATAAAACAAAATCCATGCTAATATTTTAAATGTTTAATTAAGTTCGTTTGTTTGTTACGCTTTCACGCCTAATCACTAAATCGATTTATAAAAATATTTCACTAATGAAAAGCTATATTATCACCGAGTAACATAGGCTACTTTTTACCGCGATAACCGATAAACATGCCGGCGGAACGTGCAAAAGCTAGAAATTAATAAAATCCAATGTAAATAAAAAAAGTATCAAATTCCACACTTACCCAAGAACAAAATCTGCGAGATGACGTGACTAGCTTCCATGTGGAACAGTGCTTTCAAGAAGCCAATAATGAACAGCACCAGGAATATGATCCAAGAAATACAGTACTTTTTTATAATGCCGGCTCTTTCCTGTAAGCCAAATTATCAATGATTTCATTTATTATAGTCACTTAAGAGACAAATCACAAGAGGATTAACCGACGATATGAAGAGACTGCACGGATGTCGTAGTGGTTTAAGCCGTCGCCGCGCCGCTTTCTACAACGCCGAGTGTTGTGGGTTGTAACCCCACACGGGACGACACTTTGTGTGATCCACAAATTTGTTCATGTATGTTTGTAAAGACCCCCGCAACACAGGATATATTATTAATGCGGGAGTTGTCTTTTTAAATAAATAAAAAAAAAGATAGAACGTAAATTTACCATAAGACTCCCGTTATTATATCTATAATCATCAACTTGATTTTGGTCATATCCTTACACAAGCGCCAAAATTACAAAGTACAAAATAGTGTCGTTAGTTGTCGTATACCAAATTATAATAGAGTTGATTTTTGTAAACTTGTTTGCTTCAGTCAAATTGCCAAGCGATCTACTGTTTGTTAGCTATACATTACTTTAGAAATGAAACTAGGAATAACGTAACTACGAGTAGAATGCTAATAATTGTAATACAGTACGACGACAAAAACGCGATACCAATCGTGTAATCTTGCGATTCAGTTCTCTAATAATGTCCAGTCTCGTCTTGTATTTAGAAAGTAAAATTTATTATTATTTTCTCGTTCACAGTAAATATAAATTATTACACATCACAGCATCAGCTTTTAATTGTTCGCTGCTGGATATAGGCCTCTAGGAACGGAGGTTTTGGTTTAATATACCACGCTGACCAGACGGGTTGGTATAGCTGTTGTCCTGCATAGTTTTTTTCCCTTAGTCGGCTCTTACGACACCTACGGGATGAATGGGGGTGGTGACACTTCGTATTCTTAATCCGTCACCACACGGACTTATAAATATAATGAATAAACTATTATAACCGGATACATATAAAGCTGATTTCTGCTTACCGCGATTCTTCAAAGTAACTGATAAGCTAAATTGGTTAATAAAATAGTGAAATACAGTTACATTTAAGTTCAAAAGCTAAGGTTCGATAAAAACAATTCAAATTTATTTACCTTAAAAACGGCATACACGAAGACCAAATCAGATATGAACTTGGCCAAAAGTAGTACAACGAGCAATACCACGATCGTGTACACCACGGAAGACATGCTAGCATCTACATCGTCCCGGCTCTTCTGTGCTTCTGATAAGTCCTTAATGTCTACTGCGAAGGTAATCAAGATCACCGCCAGAGTGAAAGAGAGGATCTGGAAGAGTAAATATTACAGTTAATTGACTTGTAATATATGTCTATTTATTAATTATATTGACCGCGCTCAATAAGAGAAAAAAGAGAGAGAGCCAATTAAAATAGGTGCAACTTTCTTTTGCAAAAAAAAAAGAAAAAAAAAGCCTGCGGTTTTGTGTTTGCTTCTGGCTAATATTTCACATGTCTTTTGTCAGCTTATCTGTGAAGCATCACAACACAACACGTCTTTGCAAGAACGGTGAATGTTGTGTCATAGATATTCGTTTAAATAACTCGTAATAAATCTGCTTTGGGTGTTTATGTTCTATGTAAGGATAGGGCGAGATGTGGCCTTTGCTTCTAGTAAACTGTTATGTCAGTAGAGAATGTATAATGTGGGATGTGTGAATTAGGACTTCACCTCGATAAGAATTTTATCGAAAAATCAAAGCTATTAGATCTAGAATTACATATCTAACTATTTTGTCTAATGACACAAATACATATATGGACATGATTATTAAATTAAACTGAACCATGTAATGTTTTTACATATTGTATAGACACACATTTACATTTTATGATCGCTTGTAAAAATCAAGCATTGCTAAAAGGCCGCCCAGGGTTTTTTAAATTGTTCTTTTTGTATTCTACATTTTATATTTCCTAATCATGTTTCTTTTGGTATATATTGGATATATATATATATATATTTATGGATATATATTTAAAATGCCATCAATATGTATATAAATGTAATAAAGAGGATAATAATGATTACCTCACACATTTCACACACGGCCAACTGATCTCAATCTGGGCAGAGCCTGTACCATGGGAACCGAACTGCTGATAAACATACATATATTTCTAAATACATACACATTTTTGATAAATTACACCCAGACACAACAAATGATCGTGGTCATCATTCACACAAATATTTGTCCTGGGTAGGAATCGAACCATATACCCACGAAGATAAAAATATAATTTAAAATTAATTTTAAAACGTGTCACTAAGAAGTCACTTATTACAAATTTCCTAAGCAACTAACGAATGTAGACAAAGAACCGAATTTCATACTTTGGTATTCCAAATAAGATTAAATTAGGACTTGGTAAACGTAAGAAAAAAATTAAATGAATTGAGTAGCTTGACTTTAAGTCCTACGAATTAATAAACCTGCCTACTGTGTGGTGACGGATTAAGAATACAGAGTGTCACCACCCCTATTCATCCCGTGGGTGTCGTAAAAGGCGACTAAGGGAGCAAACTACGCAGGAGAACAGCACTACAGAGAGAAGTAAAACTTGACACAAACCCTATATCAACCCGTCTGGCCAGCGTGGTGTAGTAGGCCAAAACCTCCTTTCTAAGGAGAAGCCTATGTCCAGCAGTGGACTAGTAAAGGCTGTTGATGATGATGAATTAATAAAGACTTGAATACGAAGAGATTTTAGTAAATACAGTAGGTGGAAATGTAATGAGAACAATATTCAGCGTGGAATCACATTTGTGAATAAAGTGTTACATTAACCTTTTTCAGTTCATTGCTTTTTATGGTGCGCGAGAAAATGTATTATATTTTTTGTGCTGTTACAGCAGTCTAGTTAATTTATTTGTTATATTATATTAATACGATAGACCATGTGGCGACGGATTAAAAATACGTATATCACCACCCCTGTTCATGGGTGTAATAAAAGCCGACTAAGGGAGCAACAACAGCACTGCAAAGAAAAGGAAAACTTTACACAAACCCTGTACCAACCGGTCCAGCCAGGGTGGTGTAGTAGGCCAGAACCTCCTCTATAATGAGAGGCCTACGTCCAGTGTCTACGGCAGTGGACTATTAAAGGCTGCCGATGTTGATGATGAAACGATTAACAAAGATAGGTCAAAGTATATACAAGACCCTTAACTTTAGTTACATCTAATACACACAAACTTTAAATATTAAGTTTATTACTTCAAAAGAGCGTACAAGGAATTCTAGCCACAGATTAATATATAGATATCTATGTATGTATGATTATTAATATTATCAAAGATGTTTATCTATCAAATAAAAATTGATGTTTTACCACACTAATTGATTAAAAACTTGAAAATCGAATAATAATTCCTTAAGACACCTTTTTTTTGTCTGTGCAGAAATCCCTCCGGATACCACCCACCGGTGGTTATGTCGGACATGAACCGACCACAAACCGCACGCCGCCGTCTCGGGTACCAGTAGCCGGGGAACCAGGTGTACCCTAGGAAGGAAATACCTGGAACCCTGACGGACCCCGGCCATCTACGGTATTTAACACCTCACATTTTACTAGCAAAGATAAAAGGTTGAAACACAAAACAGCTGCAAATCGCAATGACGTTAGACGGATAACGTTTGACATTGCTTGTTACCTATTTTTTTTATATTTTGAAAATTTACAACTGAAAGAAGTTATTTGTGACTATTTTCATTTTTTTGCAGTCTAGAAATTATTAAATTTAAACGGCATTTCCGAAATTTGAAATATTTTAAAGTTTACTGTTAATAATTTATGTAGTCAATAAATCATTCAATGTAAATAATTAAAATGTGACGCAATTTAAGGATGACCCCTAAGAGTCAACATTATATTATATTATATTATTATATAGACACACCCTTTTTTAACATCGCGTAACATCTTTCCCCTCGCTTTGTTGATATCTGTGGAAAGGATTTTTTGTAAAGAACGGAATTGTGTAACAGGAAGCCGAGAAAACGCGCTCTTTTTGATTTGACCAATAAGCGGTCGTGGTGCTAGATTTTAGTTACACATTATATGCCACTACTGTAAAACTTATTTTATTTCTTTTTAGACGGGTCTGTTGGTCTAGGGGTTAGTGATCCTGACTGCCAAAGAAAAGGTCATGGGTTCGATTCCAACCTCGGACTAATAATTATGTGATGAGGATGATCATTTGTTCTATATCTAGGTATAATTAATATATACTCGTAATATGTGTGTATTTAAAAATATTTAAGTATGTTGTTTATCAGAAGGCTGGTTGCCGTAGTACAGGCTCTGCTTAGTTTCTGATCAGACGGCCGTGTGTGAGGTTATTATTATATTAGTCTTCTGTACTCCTTCCCTCTCCTTCGTGTTACTTCTTAGAAATACAGTAAATTAAGTCTTAGAATCTCTGTACAAGATATAAAATCAATTATCAAAAACTTACGGCATTGACAATACCCATGGCGATGCATCCTGATCGAAGACCGAAGATAAAGCAAAACTTGTCCAGTACAGGTAGCTCCATCCTGGCCTAGAACATTCACAATAAAAAAGTGTTTAAATAACTCAATACTAGAATTCTGCTGATACTTATTTCGAAGTTTATTGTGCTGCTGGTATAGGATTGGAGTGGAGATGAACGAGATATTATGCAGTAGAACAAGATTTTTAAGTAGTTTACTTCTTATTCATTTGGGTTACGCCCATTTTCAACCGTAATCGTAACCGTGAAAGGGAAATGTGCAAAAATGGCATATCGCTTCAATAGTCTTAAATCAGCTAAATGAAATCAATAAAAAAGCATTTATTTTGAAGAGACTAACTTAAATAAGTAAAAAGTAACATTCAAGAAAAGGATGCATAATTTTACTATTATGCAGATACGCATACATGCTAACATTATCGAAACATTCTGTGTCGTACGCAAAACTGTCTCTTTTGCTCCTTTGGAGACTACAACATACAATTAAAAAAAGGCAGAGATTAGAGGCATTTCGGCTATTCACTAAATAAATTTATAACGATGCCAATTTCAAATGTATCTCTTTAAAGAGTTAGGAGATCATAAAACCGATAGTAATTCATCTATTATTTTAAGTTAACAAGTTAAGTTAACAGTAAGCATACCAGCCACAAGCACGGCGTGACCTTTTAAAATTGAAGCTTTTTGTAAAATGTAAAATTTGCTAAATAATATCATAAGCTAATAATAAAACAAATAATAATAATATTTATTTAGATAAAGAGTAAAAAGCATTTATATAATAATAAATGGTTCTCTAGTTTATAAATAAAAAACATTTGTTGTTTTTTGGCCGATTTAGGTTCGAAACCTTAATGTGTTAATTTCATTTTACTTATAGCTTTAAATATTTCATTATTGGTCTATGACATTATTTTTGTTCAAACTCAATACTTTTGTTTATATTTCAAATTTATCAGTACATCAATCTTATTAAATAAATCTACAATATATGTTTTTAATAGCCTAATATGAATAAGTAAAGAATAAACAGTTGCGAAACATCAAAAGTTTTCTTTGATCTCCCGACGATTTACTGGTGACCTCGTCATTCATAGCGTTGCCATGCCATCGCGTTAATTTCCATTCGTGGAACTCTATAGATAATATTATTGTTTTTATATTAATATCTACGGATTATCTATTATAGGCCAATAAAATGCCCTTAAGGATACAAGGGGGCTATTACCACACCAAGTATTTCGTGTAAGAACCCCACGTATGTGCTTAAACATAAATAATTCCTTAATAAACAATAATTTAACGGCTTGGTTAGTTTCAATCTGGTATGAAATTATTAGCTTTAAGACGAATGAAAGCCTGAATACTTTTAAGAGATCATAATTAATATAATTATATTCATTATACAATATTAAAAAATAAAATAAAACAATCCATTTTGGTTTTACACGTCCTAATTTAACTTTCTTTCAAACTCGAAAAAAATACTAGATTTAATTTAAAAATTGCTTACTAATCTGAAATTTCTATAGAAAAAGCTCTCACGATAAAATACTCAAAGCCAACTAAATGACAGCAAGTTCAATAGATCAATAACAGGAGTAAATAAAACAACTATTTTAATAACCAACTAGAAATCTACAGTAAAAGAGTCTATCATAAGCCTGTGCCAAATAGACCGTCTTTGTAAGAAATGTTCGTGAAGGTTATTCATACAAAGTGAATATTTCCTCGACTTACCATTCTAAGAATAAGTCTTGATAGCACAACACTGTCCCTGACACTAATTGAAAAACCGTTTCAGGAGATATAAGACTTGAAATGTAACATTTTAATAGATTCACTACAGCATTGTCAGAGAGAGAACTTCACTTTGCAAAGGCAGCGTTGATTGAAGTTGCCACACCAGTTAAGGGTTAGCTACTTCGGAAACCAGAAAATGCTTATATTCCATCAGAGACAGAGTTGTTTATTTCTATATACACTTTACGTCAATGTATTAAATACAAAAACATAACATATACATGAATACACTCACATCTTTTTTTTTTTTCGTGCGGAAATCCCCTCGGATACCACCTGTCGGTGGCATGTCGGACTCGAACCGACTAAAACCGCACGCCGTCTCGGGTACTAATAGCCGGGGAACCAGGTTTACCCTAGAAAGGAAGTCCCTGGTGCCCCGATATACCTCGGGCCATCTACAACAACAGGTAGACGACCCCCCCGTGTGGGAACCCCATGTTCCCTCTGCTCCCTGGAAACGAGCGCGCTTCGCAACGCGCTCGCCGCCACCCCGGCCTGCTTCTGATAGGGTGACAGATGGCCTCACCTGTCACCCCCAGGCCTGCGCTTATGGAGGACGGAGGTCGTTCTGCTACCTCCGGCGCCTGAGTCGCCTGCGGTACCTGGCCCGTTCCCGGGCCTGGCGGCCCGGGAGAGTCCTAAACCTCTCCCGGTCCCGCTCCGCCTTCTCCTTCGCGAGCATAACTTGCTCGCAGAAGGAGACGGCAGAGTTTCACGCACTCTCGCTCCGCACGATAGAATACACTCACATCTATATTTCTAAAAGGTTGTACAGAGGAGTATTTTATTTACATAAACATTTTGGCTACTATAATGTTAATCCCACTACATATCTTCAGTATGGTGGATTAAGAATACGGAGTGTCAATACCCCTATTCATTCCGTGGAACAGGACAACAGCACTGCAAAGAGAAGGAAAATTTGACACAAAGTATATGAACTCGTCCGGACAGCGTGGTATAGTAGGCCAAAACCTACTTTCTAAGAAGAGTCCTCTGTTCAGCAGTACACTATTAAAGGCTGTTAATGTATGTACATACGCAAAGGGGGCATCTATTGCTACCAACCAGGCACTTATTATATGGAAAATTTTGAGGAATTTGGAAAGAAAAAAATTAAAAAGAAAGAAGACAATAAAGGATATTCCTTTTTATGTATATCCTTTTAGTTTTATGGAGCTACCTTATTGTGTATATAATGCAGATTACTTTCGAAGTAAAGGAAGTTTACAATCTTTTAATAACCAGAATTAAAGTTTTCCCATATTATATTTGCGAAAACTTGGCCTTAACAGAGAAGCTGCACGGACCCTGCGCAACACAAATCCTCAGGATCGATAACATTCGGCCGGCTCCGAGTTTCAATATCCGCCGCCATTATCTACCAACGATGCTACGTGAGTTTACATATTACTCTTTATCTTATCAACCTAATGAGCTTTTTTGAAGGTGAGTGGGAATATGACGTGGCAAGATTGCCGAAAGTTGAAATTAACGATAAACTTTTTTGTAGCAGATATGTTGAGGTTTTGTAATAACGAATGCCTTGACTATACTGTTATGGAATTGTAAAGAATCTGTATATGTAGGTATGAGTACATTCCAGTATACGTATGTATAGTCTCGCCTGTATCCCTGGAGGGGTAAGCACAGGCATATTAATCGCTCATATTTTGTCAATTACCTATAATTTTCAGCAGGCAAACCTGTTGCTATCAAGTCAAGGTAACGAAGGGTAGTTAAGAAGGGTATTGCTGGTCTATGCAGGGTATGTCTAGTAATATACATGATTTATCTATATTTATAAAAGACTGAAGAAATCTGAAGAACTGACAGACTGAATCACTGGCTGCTCGATCAACGAAAAGCTGCAAAATTTCAGTTTTGCACAAATGTTCCTTAGGTGACGAATTTATAAATTTAAAACCCTTAATGTGTATCCCTAAATGGGGGTTTTAGATTATATAAAACTTCGTTATTTTTGGTAGTAGCGTATCCTCTACGATGTCTGATGTCGATCGACTACCACGCGGACAAGACGTTGGCAAAAGCTAGATTTTTAAAATAACATGACTGCTTTGCACTTACATGAATTTGTCGTCCTCATTTACAAATATTGTGTTTTACCTTGATTCGAATAACATTAAACAGTCTGACTGAGTTTCTTGACTTCTCAGTCAGTTGTCAACACGAAATAACTGTAGAAGCACTAAAAGATAACGCCGAATCAAATTGGTCATGAAACTATAATGATAATAAAGATATTTTTATTATTTGTTTTTGTATAGTCTGTCCATGGTCAACCTCTAGATGAAAACACGTTGCTTTATCTCATCTTTGGAGCCTGGTTTCTTGACCTGGGCCTCATAACTATTAATTATGTTCATTACTGCATGTTACTGTACTAACAGATGTCAATTTATTGCCTGTTGATATTTAGTTATTAATCCGATTTAGAGACTGTTTTTAGACGGCAAGGTGTTATTCAACTTTTTCCTCAGTAGTGTCAAATAGCGTCGTATTGTCAGCATTTTAAGGTTTCTACATTTCCTTTCTACTACAGGCACCGACAATCGAGTCGCGTAGACCTACACGCGGGTAAACATCACGCAAGCTACATGGTACAGAATGGTGACAAGATCATCAACTGCCTTTAATAGTCTACCTTTAATAGACATAGGCCTCTCTTTAGAAAAAGAGGTGTTGGTCTAATAGACCACGCTGGCCAGACGGGTTGGTATAGGGTTTATTTCAAGTTTTCCGTCTCTTTGCAGTGCTGTTATACTGCGTAGTTAGCTCCTTTATTCGGCTCTTATGACATCCATGAGCTGAATAGGGGTAGTGACACTGCGTATTCTTAATCTGTGACCACACGGAAAAGATACAATCCTAATAAATACAGTGATGAAATGAGCATTTGAGTTAATAGGTCACCTGGACTAAGATCCAGCAAACTGGCGCAGAAAATTGACTGACAACTTTGTGTACCATAAGTTGTGGCTTATTGTAATGTGTACGTGTGCAATAAAGATATTATCCAAGGCATTTCAAAATTATTTTATGATAGCTTATGCCTGCGGCACCGCCCGCGTGTATATCAGTGTATCTATGTTATCCGCGTGTATACTCGCTGATAACATAGCTTTCCATTGGTGAAAAAAAATTGTAAAATCGATTTAGGGGTTTAGGGGTGAAAGCGTAAATAAAAAATAAACTTTCTCATTAAATAATATAAG